CTGCTTCCGGTGTCCTGGTCGCTGATGCCGGTGTCATCCTTGAGACTGCCGACCAGTATCTCGCCGAGCGGGAGCACCTCTTCCCTCTGGACCTCGGTGCCAAGGGTTCCTGTCACATCGGTGGAAATGTCTCCACCAATGCTGGTGGCCTGCGTCTGCTCCGCTACGGCAGTCTCCACGGTAGCGTGCTAGGCCTTGAGGCGGTCCTGCCGGACGGGACTATCGTGGATGCGCTGTCGACTCTACGCAAGAACAACACTGGTTACGACCTCAAGCAGCTGTTCATCGGCTCAGAGGGTACCATTGGCCTCGTGACCGCTGTCTCTATTCAGTGCCCCCCGCGTCCCAAGGCGGTTAATGTGGCTTACTTCGGTCTTGAGAGCTTCGAGCAGGTCCAGCAGGCTTACCTCGCTGCCAAGGGCCAGCTCTCGGAGATTCTCTCCGCGTTCGAGCTGATGGACGGTCGCAGCCAGAAATTGGTCATTGAATCTACGGGTAACAAGCACCCTCTCGAGGGTGAGTATCCTTTCTACTGTCTGGTGGAGACCAGCGGTTCCAACGCCGAGCACGACATGGCCAAGCTTGAGTCGTTCTTGGAGAGCGTCATGGGCGACGGCATTGTCGCCGACGGTGTACTAGCCCAGGACGAGACCCAGTTCCAGGCCCTGTGGCGCTGGCGTGAGGGTATCACCGAGTCCCTGAGCCACTTGGGTGGCACCTACAAGTACGATGTGTCGATCCCGTTGGCGGATCTGTACCTGCTTGTGGAGGACTGCAAGGCCCGCCTCACGGAGAAGGGTCTGGTCGGTGACGACGACTCTTTCCCTGTTCGTGCCGTGGTTGGTTACGGTCACATGGGTGACTCCAACTTGCACTTGAACGTTTCCGTACGACAGTACAGCAAGGAAGTGGAGAAGGCGATCGAGCCGTGGGTGTATGAGTGGATTCAGAAACGCCAGGGCAGCATCAGCGCTGAGCATGGGCTTGGCGTTGCTAAGCGCGAGTTCATTGGTTACAGTCAGAACGAGACGATGGTGAAGTTGATGAAGCAGCTGAAGAACCTCTATGACCCGGTAAGTGGAGTGTCGCTTCTATGTGTGAGCAATTGCTAACTTTTATTCTTAGAATGGGATCATGAACCCGTACAAGTATATTTAGAGCATCTTACGTGTTGTATATGGATCGTTGGAGCATAACAAAAGCCGTTTACCGAGAGCAAGTAATAATCACATTATACACATGTACAAGCATGTACAAGCATGTACAATGCAGAATCCGTAAAAGAAGTAAATGATAATCCTTCTAGGACTAAGTAGCTATATTCGAGGTAAATCGGATCAGCTGAGTGGACCCCTTGCAGATATACCCCAGTTGGTGCCTGAGGCCTTCCGTTGCCATGTGAGACGGAGCTTGTTTGGGGATTTATGCTCCACCCCTTGCCCGCCATCCCCGATGACCTCTTGACTCTCGTCTTGACCTCTCGAAAGTCCCAAGCTATTCATTCATTATTTGGATGAGCCCTGTCGACATTCCCTGTCTGACTGGAGTAGCTAGCTGGGCTGAATTATTGCACAATGGACGACATGGCAAGCCATTACCAGGTGATGGAGGAGCTAGGGAGTGAGTTCCCAAAGCGCTGTTTATTTTTATTTTTTTTGCATTTCCGTCGGCTAACTGGATTCTCCATTTGCAGGTGGTAGTTTCGGAGTGGTTTACAAAGCCATTGACAGGACTGACGGTGAGATCGTTGCCATTAAACACGTACGCTTTCATGATATTCGATCTTCGAGTCCTTTCGTTCGATTGTTGACCCCCTTTTCAGATCGATCTCGAGTCCAGCGAGGATGATATTCAGGAAATCCAGCAGGAAATTTCTGTTTTGGCTACCTGCGCTAGCCCCTACGTTACACAATACAAGGCCAGTTTCCTTAAGGGGCACAAACTATGGATCGTTATGGAATACCTTGGAGGTGGCTCCTGTTTGGATTTGGTACGTTCCTTGCTGCTATTTTTAACATGAGGGGCATCGCTAATCGTTCCAGTTAAAACCTGGATGTTTTAACGAAGCCCATGTGGCCATCGTCTGCAGAGAACTCCTCTTGGGCTTGGATTACTTGCACAACGAAGGCAAAATCCACCGTGATGTCAAGGCCGCCAATGTTCTCCTTTCTCAGAGTGGAAAGGTGAAGCTGGCAGACTTTGGTGTCGCCGCGCAGCTGGTCAACATCAAGTCGCAGCGCAATACATTCGTCGGAACTCCATTCTGGATGGCACCGGAGGTTATCCAGCAGGCTGGATACGACTTCAAGGCAGACATCTGGTCCTTAGGCATCACGGCAATCGAGATGATCAACGGAGAACCCCCACATGCCAGCACACACCCGATGAAAGTGCTGTTTCTAATTCCGAAGAACCCTGCACCTCGACTCGAAGGCAACGAGTACAGCAACACATTCAAGGACTTCATTGCACAGTGTCTGACAAAGGATCCGGATCTGCGGCCGAGCGCAAAGGAGCTCCTGAGACACAAATTTATCCGGAATGCGGGCAAGGTTGAGTCACTTCAAGAACTGATTCTGCGCAAGCAGGACTGGGATTGTGGCCGTGGTGAAGGGAGAGACGTGAAATACTATGCCGAATCCCTCAACACCATGACCAGGCCCGAGGATCTCGATGATGACGATTGGGTCTTTGACACGGTCAAGGCTCCTCCAATGTGGAAGCCAAAGGGCACGGATTGGATGACATTCGACGAGGAGGACGAAAACAACACGCCTGATCCCGCCCAGATGCTCGAAGACATGCATATAAGCGCACCACCACCGCCGCCTAAGCACCAGGCAAACTCCACCGTCCGCCGAATCCCTACCGACCGATCTCCGTCTGTCAGACGGGCTAACACCAAGCGTCGTTCGAGTGGCGTCAAACAACCCCTTGGTCTAGACTTGAGCTATGGCAACAGCCCGTCCACAGTCCGACAGTTCCGCCGGGTATCAGACAAGGTCCCCTCCGACCTCAACCCGATCAAGCAGGGATTTGATGAAAATCAAAGCCCGAAGATGGTATCCACTGATACTTCAAGCAAGGAGGCTCAACTTGGACGCCGCGCATATAGCAAGGCAGTGGGAATGTCCTGCCAGGAAGTCCTATCAACAACAGGTGATGGCGATAAACGTGAGGCAATCTCCAGACTTGCCGAAGCCTGGAGCGACCTGGAAATGGTCGACCCGGAAGGTCTCTACCACATCGTCCGGATCATGAACGAGAAGCTCCAAGCAGACTCCCGCCTCTCCATTCTTCTCCCATCCACACAACCCGATTCCCCCTCGCGACCACGCCTCGTGCTGGCCCAAAACAACCCACACCTCAAAAGCCACCGCCGTCGCCAATCCTACGTCCCCGAGCCCCAACCCCAGTCTCCCCCATCCGTCCCCGCTCAATCTGCACCCGGCATGGAACACACCAAACAACTATCTGATGTCCTCTACCAGCGATGGTCAGAGGGTCTCCGCAACCGCTGGGGCGGCATCTAGTCTCACCGTCAACCATCCTCACGCTTCCAACGTCAACCTCAACATCTCCTGCTACTCTTTCTTCCATTCGCTGTATAGACCCATTTTGGCGTTCTGACTCTTGTACAACTCTTTGCCATTGGCTGCATCCTTGGTGTCCGTTCGTTCGTTCTGTTTACTGTCACTTACTTTGGTGGGACTGGTCCTGGAGTTCCTAATGATCTGGTGTAATCTTTTTGCGCTTTCTTCTGTACTCTCTTTTTTTTCCCTGATAGAATGCTGCCTGTGCTTCTGTCTTTGTCTATTGGCCCTTGGTCTTTTGTGTAATTTTTTTTTCTCAAAGTATTTTCCAGGAGTACTAGAACATACTATGTCTGAAATGTGAAAAATGTCTTGATTTTTGTATCGCTTCGTATTTCTTCAATCAGTCGACGGCTGATGCTCCCTCTGTCCTTGACAATGTAAGAGTCTAATAATGTGGTCTATTTGCCCCCAAGATGATATTATGGGCGTTAGGTGTAAGGATACTCCGATGTGGTTTTGTATACTCCTTTTAGATGTCTAGGTATCCATTGCCTAAATAAGCTGGGTCCTTCCTGAGTACCGTCTCCACTGTCAAATACCAAAATTGATCAAATGAAACAGGGTTGGAACAGGGTATTTTACCCAGAAGATCATGTGACACTTGGTGCTAGCATATATAAAAGTACATACTACAGTTTCATCGATGTCCGTGTTAGATTGTTGAAATAGCGGGTTTTGTCATCTTAGAGTTGTCAACATCGGTCATCCATACCATACATTGTTCGTACACCAGCTTTCTGTCAAACAGGAAAACTCACGATAGAATTTAGAAACCTACAAATTAGGGCTCTGGACTCGTGTGTATAGACTAAGTGATAGGATCGGAAATCCGATAGGTTGTATATATAAAGTTCTCGTAAATCGACATTTTGTTCCTTTACTCTTTATCAAGCCACCTGTTTCGACTAGCTAACAGACGCAAGAGCCTGGTTAAGACTCGAATTCGTTACCTAAATATAGAATTCATCCTATAAAAAACGCTATCTTAGCTGCGAGATAAACAGCCAAATTTCGCGCCAAGCGCTTCTCTCATTTAATTGGTCTGGTACTTGTCCCTCACGTGGCTATGTCTTCACGTGCTCTTTTCTATATTCTATACTAATACTGTGATCCCTACTATCTTACCAGGTTCATCCTAGTCTAGTACCCTAAAGTTCTCTTCCGTTCTGCTCTCGCTAACTATCTCACTCCTGTTTTATAAATTTCTCCTCGAAGTCTTATTGCTCTTGGTCCGCTCTTTAGCCCATCGGACCAGCCAAGGTACGGAGAGCCCTGGTCCAAAGACTCGGCGTATGTACCACAAATATCTTCTTCCGAGAGGCTGATTTTGCTATTGTGCCAAGAGGAATGGAAAAGAGAAAGAAAATATGACTGCCTAGCTTATCTGACTAAGTCGACCTCGTATCATGGGCAGTAGAGCAAGTCTCCAACCGGTCCTTCCCACTCGTAATGTACAGGATCAACAATCGGCCGAAAATAAGTAGGATTCAATAAAAGCCGTGTGCAGTCGGCTAGCCAAGCAATATGAGTTTCGGAGTCCTCCCGATACAAACAATACAGTTTGTCAAGTTCTGCACGTGTCATGTCAAGACGAGGGCCATGTTCGCTTAATGTCCCAAATGGAACAAGAGCTTTAAGAAGTTGGTCATATGCTTCTAGACCATGGTATTTGCAAGGTGGACTTTTTGCGCTGACCGTCACTCCTTGAAGCAACTCGAAGACTTTATGGTGAGAAGCCATTATACACCAGTTGCAGAAAGCCATAACGACCAGTGCTGATGTTTTGCAATTTTGCACGTTCAGCAGTACTTTTCCAATGCATTTGCGCATTTGATCATTCAAGCTTTGACACACGGATTTGCGAATACTCCTCAACACAACATTTTCGCGTTGTCCTCTGGTAGTATCGCTCCGGAAGTCGACGAGATCGTTGAGCAAGGCACAGGCCTCGACGAGGTTGAAGTAGACAAGTCTATCAAGCTTCTCTCCAGTTCCAAGGGAGGAGCACACTATGCCTACCATAAAACCAAGGTCTATATGCCGATGAACAGTGTTTCCCGTCTGTCTAGATCCAAAGAGGCCTCGCGGTAGTCGAGACATTGCGTGGTCTCGGTAATAACCGGTAGCTCGGAAATGTAACACGCTAGCAGCCACAAGTTCAAACTGCCAGTCTGCTATATAGCCAACCATATTGCACAGTCGAAGAAAAGACACAGCTGCGGCCCCGGTTTTTTGAAGCAGAGCTATAGTCTCTTCGTTCGCAGCCTCGCAGTAATCGGCAATCAAAATATCATTTCCCATATCTGCGAGAGCTCTCGATATACCCTCGTCACAAAGACTTCCCCCACAAGCGATCGAGTAATAGTACTTGGCGTCAGTGCAGAGCTTAACTCGCTCAAACGTTGGGTACATCTCATGATGAGCATCTGGCGCGGTATCGCACTGTGGACTTGGTCGGCGATCGGGGGCACGTACATCCGGGATAGATGTTTCACGACCTGGGCAAGTCTCTGTAGGCTTTTGCCATTCGGTGTTTGATAACGCCAGCTCGACCGCAGCATTCTCTAGACCTTCCTGGGTGAGGATCCCATGTCCATTCCATTGGTCTTGCTCACGACCTATAAGACGGACTAGCTCCAACATATTTTTAATCGCATTGCACCGGCAATTTTGGGAAAGGGTCTCAAAGCTGATGTTGGAGGGGGCAGAAGAGAGACCGATCCCATTGCATTCGCAGGATGTTTTCGGATTATAATCCTCAGATAGGAGGTTAATCTGATTGCTCAAGGGTGGCCGCTTGCCGCCTAGCGTAACTCTACCTCGTGCGAATTCTTCACGAAACACTATTACCGCACTTTCAAGCGTCGCAAGAGGTGGAAATTTCGTATCCGATTCGCCGAAAATGTTACAGACATCTTCAAGCGTCATATCAGCTGTCCGTTGGTTGACCAGGGGATCTTCTGGAACCGAGCACCATGCCTTCACCCAGGCCAAGTAGAGTGCAAGGGTTTGCTTTCCGTGAAGAGGTGCATGGGGGACAGACTCGGTAGTCATTTTGAAAATCGCTTATGGGCTTCAAAAATAAAAGTAAATCACGAAACATAATAACCTGCCCCTATCCCCTAGCGAGAGAGCTAACCGCAAAAGGAGTGGGTCATGTAAAATAGAGTTTGACAAGGAATTGAAGAGATTATAGAGGTGAAACTGATTTCTGCTCCGGCAGTCTGTGAAGATCCCTCCTTCGAGGGCGTCGCTGCGACCATTTCAATGACTGGGCCACGACTGCACCGCAGCAGGAACATGGTATAGACAGACGCGGACATATAGGCCGGTACGGATCCTTCATTGTGGAGCAACAGGAGGCCGTGGAATCCGTCTTCCGCTTGGATCCGGATGATATTCATAAGACCGGGATTGAAAAATTATCGCTTTCTGAAAAATAGGCTGTTCTTGGATTTTTGCGTCAGTCTGTGTAACTGCAAAACCAGGATAGAGTTGCTTCTAAAGATGAATAGAGCCATAGGGTAAACAACAGCCACGTCAAGGCTAATAACAATAACTCACTCGGTGACTTTGACCAAACGAGGTGAAAGGCAAGCATTCATAGTGGACCTATGTCTTCCAATGTCTCACCTTTTGGCCCTATAGTTCACATCCAACGGGGTTTGATAACTACGGTACATCGCTGACCTATGAACAAGCTAGTTGGTTACCCTGCTAATTGTATGGTTCATTGCTTATCTCCCCCCGGGTACCCACATACAGCACCTTCTGCTACAGTTTAGAACGAACTCGAGGGATCCAGGGTATTCATCCCCTCATTCGAGGCGTGTATTCGCTATGGATTCGCGATCTGGGAAGAACAGCGCATGGTCGATCTTGGGTTGTGGTCAAAGGATTATATAGATATGTCGGCGCATTACTGAAAGTGGTATCAGTTCCTTAGGCCCAAGGGCGTTGCTCGTTATAAGAAAATGAGCCGGTACCTTGATGATAATGATGATGAATGAACTTGATCATTGTCTGTGGCTGTATGGAGTAACACTCCAGAGCTTATTCAATTGACTTCAAACCTGTCTGGTCTGAAATTGAACCCTAGTTGAACAATATCACCATAAGAAATCTCTTCACAGGACGTTCAAAAGAAATTCTCCGTTCGGCCTGCAGACCACGATCTAGTCAAGGGCTAAAGCTAAGAAATAAAAACCAAAAAAGTGCATCATCCGTGAATCGAACACGGGCCTCGTCGATGGCAACGACGAATTCTACCACTAGACCAATGATGCTCTGAAACCAAGTGGATCTGAAAGCTGATTCGTTGGTTATATGTAAAGGGGACGATATTAGTATAATAAGCCGCATCAGCCTAAAACTCGGTGTTCCGCTGACTGTGGATGATGGTAGTTGGAGTTAAGGACCTGTACACGAATATTAACACACTGGGTTCAGAATTGGCCACCTATATAAGACTCTGAAAAGCCTGACTGTGTGGGTCTCCTGAGAAGAGCTGTCTCAAGCTAAGAATGACACCCTGTCGAGGATGATTTTCTATTTTTCTATTTTTTTTTTTTTTGGCACGCTTTAATCCAAGCTCATCACGGTGTTGTGGTCATTCTTGACTTAACTCCTTGAGCGGAAGAAACCCCAATTACAATCCTCTTCTGCGACCTGTAATGACCTTTCATTGGATGAAATTAGCATGCAAGTCGAAACTCCGGGGAAAACAAGGGAGAAAGTAAATAAGGCAAGTATTCTCTGGCCGGAAGGATGAACCGAGAGAAGAGTGAGGTAAAGTTGTCTAGAGTGGAGAGCGAAGACGCTCTACGCTCTACGTCCATCTAGAAATCTAGCACGCGGTGTGAACCCATCATCTCTCATGCATAGCGAGCCAGGCTTAAGCCATCTATAGCCAAATCTCACTGCCAAGCGAACAATATACGAGTGAAACACAGTTGATTAGCAACACATGTAGGTGCCTTATGACCCGCTATGGCTACGGTAAAGAGAATTGATGCTGTTATTCTGGCCTACTGAAGTCCAGATGATATGTATAACAGCTTATTCTCCAAGTTACTAAATTTGATAGCCAAATGGTCTCACCACCAGGGATTCTGCAGGTTTATGGCCCGATATCCGAACTGTTATTCGGCGCTCAAGGGCAGTGAAGTCATACTAGAACCTTCTGTTCGTTCTGGCTGTAGATCGCACTAGATACCAACATGAGTACGGAGTAGCAGAAACACTATCCTTAGGAATTTCCGTCTAAAGCCAGCCATATGTATCCATCTAAGTTCGACAATTTGAAATTCAAAAGTCAAAAATATGAAGGAATAAGCTTAACGTATGGGGAGGTATAGTAGGGCAGTAGACGGCTAAAGATGGATTATGGCAAACCGAGCCCTAATCACAGGCAATGAGGTTATAGTGAGAATTAATTATATTACGGAGGATTTATATCGTCCTCGCATAGTTGTACGATCATTTTGATATCTTTCCACCGTTACTACACCTGTGGACTCTTTGTCCTTCGCTATAATGATGATTACCAATATTTATGTTATCACGGCCATCGCTGTGATTGGAGGCTCGCTATTTGGCTTTGATCTGTCTTCGATGTCTGCCATGTGAGTTATTTTCCTTGGGGAGAAAAAGACAAGCGTTTTCTAATCAATGCAGCCTCCCTACGAACCAATATAGATGCTATTTCAATCAGGGACCTAATGGGCCGCCATTCAATAACGCAACCCACTGTTCGGGCCCAGATGCTACAATCCAAGGTGGAATCACAGCCTCCATGTCTGGAGGCTCTTTTATTGGGGCATTGATCTCGGGCTTCGTGACTGATATATTCGGCCGAAAATCAGCTATTCAAATGGGAGCTATCATATGGTTGGTTATGCTCCGACCAGCTGAGCCGAAAGCAACTGACATCATGCACAACCAGGATTATCGGAAGCACACTCTGTTCCGCCTCTCAGAACATTGCTATGTTAATCGTGGGTCGATTCATCAACGGCTTGTGTGTCGGGATATGTTCAGCGCAAGTTCCTGTATATGTTGGAGAGCTTGCGCCTCCACATCTAAGGGGTCTAGTAATGGGTGCTCAGCAATGGGCTATCACCTGGGGTGTTTTGATCATGTTCTATATATCCTACAGCTCATCCTTCCTGGCGGGACCTGTGGCTTTCCGGCTGCCTTGGGGTCTTCAGATGATCCCCGGGATTGGCCTCTTCTTCGGGTTATTGTTTACGCTCAATCAATCAATCAATCAATCAAAGTTCAATTAACCTGTTGCAGTCTAACTAGTTGCGTATGACTATGCAGGCGCTTCATCCAACTGAAGCAAGAACTCGGAGCCAAACGCCAAGCTGGAACCACATAGTGCATCCCATAGAGTATACAGATACTGATCGTAAAGAGTGCGGAATCAGCCCATTCCTGTAACCCGTAGCCCCATAAATCCAAACCCATCCCAACCCATACATAAGAAATTAACATATAATGATAGTTGTGGAGTGCACCCTCCACCTTCCAACCCCCACTTCGCTCTCTCTCTCTCTCTTTCTCTGTACCCTCCCCTGCCTCAGTTTCAATTGATGGTGATGTTGTTCTGGCCATTCAACTGGCATGCTTGTCGACTCTGGCTGAGTTCTCGTTTCACAGCATCATTTGTCGTCATTGGCTAGTACCCATCGTCTTCCACACCTAGCTCCATTGCCGCGAGGCCTGTCGGTTCGTCGTCGTCGTCCTCCTCGATCCCAACGTGTTGAAACTGCTGGAGGAGACCTGTTCGGTGCATGAAGTTGACCACGTAGCGGAGTTATTGTTTACGCCTGAGTCTCCGAGATGGTTGGCAAAGAAAGATCGCTGGGATGAATGCTGTCACATTATCACTTCTATTCATGCTAACAACAACCTCGATGACGAATTTATTCAGATGGAGATCCAACAGCTCAAAGATGCTTGCGAATTAGAGCGCAACAAGTCCGATAATACTTACTTTGATCTTTTCCGGCCGCATATGATTTGGCGGACTCATATCGTCGTCTTCGTCCAAATATGGTGTCAACTAACTGGAATAAATGCTATTCTTTATTGTAAGTTCCATCCTGTCCAGTGCCCAATGTGGTAGAAGTATCACTAAAAGCTTTAGATATTACATATATATTTGGAATGGCCGGCCTCAGTGGCAATTCCAACTTGGTGGCCTCATCCATCAGCTCTGTGATCAACGTGGTTATGACAATACCCGCACTTCTCCTCATGGACCGGATCGGGCGTCGTCCATTGCTCATAGGAGGTAGTATTTCTCTTACCATCTGGTGGACCATATGTGCAGGCCTGATGGGAGGCTATGGTGCCCCGGCTCCCCTAGGTGGTCTGAACCATATTGCTGAAGTGAGTTGGTTGATCACAGGATCTCCCGCCAAGGTTGTGATTGCTTGCTCCTATCTCATTGTGGCCTCTTTCGCCCCAACATGGGGCCCTATTGAATGGGTGTATCCATCAGAACTTTCCCCCTTACGTCTGCGAGGAAAGGTCGCTGCCTTATCTACAGCCAGTAATTGGGCATTCAATTTTGCTTTGAGCTATTTCATTCCGCCCGCTTTCATCAACATCACTTGGACGACATATATTATCTTTGCCGTGTTCTCCTTCGCCATGACCCTTCACGTCTTCTTCTTTTTTCCTGAGACGTCAGGGAGGACCTTAGAGGAAGTTGAAGATGCATTCAAGGGTGTTCATCTAGCATGGAGAATGGGGAAAGACAAATTCAGGGATGAAGAGAGAGCACTCGACCATGAGTCGAAACAAAACCAACGTGAAGAAGTTATGCACGTTGAGGATACTCTAAGATCAATGTAAATTTATCTATCTATAGTCTGGCTGAAAGACTTCCAAGGTTCTTTGTTAGCCAATGGTGGAGACCTCTAAATCAAACGGTTTCCCTTGGCATATTGTATCATGTAGTAGACATGCCGGCTTTGTGTACATAGAAACCCGATTCCAGGCCGTGCGAGATGGCTCTCTCTTTCATTCTTAAGTACTCTGAGGATGGAACGGCATATTTGCTTTGTTTGCCTCTCGTTAGCGGTGTTTCTTCTGATTACGCCGACGAGAAAGTGGCTATGGAAATAGAGGCTATTGATTTGATCTGAAAGAAGACCATTATACCGGCTCCAAAAGTCCATACTTGGGGTCTTGCCACGGCCAATCCCTTTGGACTCGGCCATCTATATTGATTGAATTCATTGAGGGTATTGGGGTGTTATAGACGAAGAGCCTGACGAGATAGCAACCTCCAGAGATAGCAAAGCGCCATTTCAAACATTTTGAGATGTTCAAGCGCGTCTTTGATGAAGAGGAGGAGAAGGACAGATCACTAGGGCTTTTGATCAGAAGGAGCCGGGAGAACTTCTAGACAAGAAGCTGGGCGAGCTGAAGTTGTATAACAAGAGACTGGAGAAGGTACAGAAATCAGAAATCCGGTATTAGCTAGAATGTGAGGCCATCACATCAGGGATTTGTTGGCGGAGCTAGCGAGGAGATCGAAGAACCCAGTGTATTGGGGTGATGGGTGCGACCTTGGGTCTGAAAGAGCGAGATTGGCTTGCCGCTCTCCATCTTTACACCAAAAAGGTCATTTTTTCACATGGGAGTACTGTCAATCGAGGTCTACTGAGTGGGATACGTCGAAGGTTTTAGGGTAATTAAATTATTTAGAAAGCCAATTTCTGGTGTTGAATATGGGATTCTAACAAACAACTTTTTCTTTTTCAACTTATAGTCCAACAGGCCTCTGATTGAGTGGAGTTTGACTGAGTGGAGCTTCTATAATATGTACATGTACTTATACAGGGCCACAGATGGCATACAGGATGGAAAATTTAGACTTGGATACTCTCGTCGGACACATCCTTACCCTCTCCCTCCGCATTCCTCGTCTTCCTGGACATCCACTCATGACGCAAGAGCCCCAGAGCCGTGGGTCGATGATCAGGATCCCATTGTAGCGCTTTTCGCATCCACTGCAAGAAGCCTTCCACATCCCCCCGTCGACATTGCCAGCGGCTAGGCACTCGAAGCTTCGATCTGGCACAGGAGCTTGGCCTGTCCAATTCCCGTCTTCGTCCCAAAACATGGAGCCTAGTCGCATCTTCTCGCGGAACTCTGGTGGAGGCGGGCCAAGTAGAGAAACCAGCTCTGCGATATGGACCCGGTCATCAAAGGCCCCGTCCGAGTTTCGTCCGTCGATAAGCCCTTGGGAACTGGTGTAATTCCATGCCTAGATAAAATATGTAAGCATGGTTCTGCTGACTCAGAATAAAGTACTCACAACTACAGCAGTAGCCCAAATGTCTGCCCTATGATCCGATTTCGATTTCAGGACCTGTTCAGGAGGCCTACAGTGTTTTTCCTCGATACTGGACATGTCATCGTCTGGGAAATCCAAACGAAGGGGAACACCATCGCCTGGGAGTATCATTGGGGTGATAATCTCGTCATTGCTGGGGCCAGCAACTCGTCTATCAGAATCAACGTTGAATGTTTCGTTTGGCATTATGCCTACTCTGGAATCAGTCATCCGTCATTCAAAAACAATGAGGTTGCAAGGGAAGATACGGGCAGTAAGATAGCAATCAGTATGTAGAAAATCCATCATAACCAGCATTTGTTTCATTGTAGACCTCATCGACTCGAGATCCATCTTGTCTCCAGCGTGCATCTGTTCTGTGTCTAGTGAGGGTGCCTCGTGAACAACACAAATATGAGGACCACGAGGACCCTTGATGGTAAATCGATCGCTAACTTCGTGAAGAGGGCATTCGCTTTGCTGGTACAATTTTGGTGGGTGGACCCGCCCATAGGTCTTGAGCATATGGTCCACAACATAGATCTTCAAAACAACCATTCTAGGCTCCCTGTCGTTTACTGAGAATTAGAGCAGTATCGTTCCAGCTCCGATAAAATACTCACAGTAGATCAACGGCATACCAAACAGTCGCCGTGGGCCCATAGCCGATTTTGTGCATGATTCGGTACCTGTCGTTCAGGGCTTCTTCCTCCTCGGCGGGATACGTGTGTGTCTCGTTAGGCTCATATCCCACCGCCAGCTCTTCTTCAATCTTGATAGATGAGTCCAGTAGCCCGAGGTCAAAGACTGGGAAAACTCTCGGGTTGGACGTCCATTGTGATGAGCATCGACGCGACCAGGTTGTTTTTCGGTCAAAGGGGGAGATCAGTCGGTACGCGGAAATGGAAAGTTGGGAAGAGACCCCCCATCTTTGAATAATTCCAGCATTGAAGCGAATACGTAGAGCACTCACTCTCCATTTCATGACGAAGACGCGGTTGTTGGTGAATTCGCGCTTGGCGGAGTAGGTGCGGTTGAATGACGGATGATGGGTCACCCCTGCATATTCCCGAGGTCTATTTATATCTCGGCCTTTTTCTTTTTATCACTTCCTTAACACTAGATGGGTATGGACTTCACTTTTTCGAAGCAAAGGGGACCATCTTCACAGTGATTGGAGAAGTAAACAATCGTCGCGCCAATTCTTAGTGTGCAGCCGCTAAAAATAAGCTTAAACGACATTGGCTATCAGCACCTCCCGAGGTTGCCTTCTACCCAGAGACCCCACAACATTCGAGATCCCACAGCGACGTGCCTCCGTAGGCTGAACCCAGGCTTGATCTGCCACATGAAGCCACCAGCTGTACACTGATCTCTCTAGACATGGAACTACCCAGGTAGAAGTTGGAATATATTTGGGTAACTAGATGTACAATGGAAGAGGATGCGATTAAACACCCCCAATGTATTCCGTGGGACTTGTCAAGCGGCTATAATGCCCAAACGCTTAGCCACTTGTCAAAGAACTCGCACGAGAAAGCCCGGTTTGATTTGGGTGTGGAGCTGCATTGGCCTCAACAATGTTGATGTCTCATGCATAGGCACCCTGGTTGCTACGGGTCCCTCCACCTGCGCTGTCTCATGGGGGCTATGGGGAGATGGTGGTCGAGAGGGTCGAGGAGAGGAAGAGAAGAAGAAGAGAAGAGGGAGAAGGGGGGTGCCTTTTTATATCCCCAGCAACACGTACCTTCCTAGAATGGGGATTTGTCTACTTTCCTAATCTGTCCATCTCGTGACTCAACTGCACTTGCCTTGAACCAAAACAAAGCGCCCTGTTGTTCTTTCCAATTCTATGGATTTCCTTATTTGTACTATGTAACTTCAATATAACCTCGATATCAGTTTCATAGCCAGCTCATTCATGAACTCGGACTTTACCGTCAGTTTAATTACTGATATACTCTGTGCTTAAATCACCATTGAAGCACGGCCCTCATCTGTTGAAATGGTATACATTGTACATACAAAATGTTCCGATGTAGATCTATACCCAAACTATACAGACTGATGCCAAGATTAATACGCTAATATTAAATTCCCCCCTGAAACACAGCCCGTGGACTCGTGTGGGACCCGTTGTGGGCTGGACTCAGGAGACTCGGAGCTATTATTTTCTCCCTTTCTCAACTCTCCTCTGTTATTGTTATTGTTCTTGTTTTGTTGTTTCTATGAATTTTTGAAAAACTTTGATCTCTCCTACTGGCTGGCCCACAATGGAGAGTCTTCCGGGAGCGGAGAACCTTCTCCATGGTCCAATTCCGGATAACCAGAATTCCACGAATTCCACGAATTCCACCGTGCCACAACCGGACTCAGCTTCCGACTTCTCCAATCTCTCACGCTCATCCTCTCTCGCTCAGAAAAGAATTTCTTCACTACCTCGTGTCAAGACGGCCCGTCATGCCAAACGACTCACCTTAAACTTCCCCATCAATCTGAACGAAACTGGGACACTCGATAACGTCACCTCACCCGGCCCCATAACCCCAATCACACAGCCCTCAACCCGCCCCTCCCCCGCTCAGCCTCCGGGAACACCTATGGCATTTGACGTCCCGGACGATGGCTATGACTTTCTGCGGGCTATCGCCTCGCAGGAGCGGAAGGTCATGGAGCTTCGCGAGGAGCTCACTCGGGCCGAAGCAGACCTAGTGACAATTAAGAAACAATGGGCACTATCTGAAAAGTCTAGGAAGCGGGCGGAAATCAACCACGCGGAGCCACTTGTACCCCTCCGCTCGCCCGATTTCTCAACACCGGAGGTTCCGAGTTCACATGGCCGGGAACAGAGTATGAGCTCGGTTACGAGCTCCACAGTGTCACAAGAACGGATGAGCCGAGATCTAGACCGACGGTCTAGCGTGCGTGCTGCCGCTGCTGCACCAGGAACCAAGATTGGGAGTAATGGTCGGCGAGTGTTTCACGGCACACATACACGGACTTTGTCTCTCTTGTCGCCAGTCTCAGGTCCCAGCATTTCTTCCCGCGGAGAACCAGGATTCTCAGATGCTGCCAGTGAGCGTGTGGGTCGCACTCCGCGGTCTGCGACATTACCATCTGTCGACCGCAATAATGCAGCTCTGATGAGTGCACAACTCGACGAGAGCCAGGTACCAGAACATCTACTCGCACAGTGGCAGAAGACCCTTCCTCCCCCCTCGCGGGAGGCCCTGATGCGCACAGGCAAGCAAATGGCGTCTGATCTCCGTGAGGGTCTCTGGACATTTTTGGAGGATATCCGACAAGCTACGGTGGGCGAGGAAGGAATCAGCGGAACACAGACACGAACCTCACCATCTAACTCATTGGCACCACCAAATGGTCGAAAGCGGGATTCGTTGGCAGGATCCCGAAGTCGGGAACGGTTGCTAGCGGACGGCAAGCTATCACGGTCGTCGTCGTCATCGTCTTCGCGGGGGAGGGGGCCAGCGGCCGAGACAAAAACTGGTAAAGACACCAAGCCGGCGGAAATTTCCACATCTTTCTGGAACGAATTCGGCATTGATACACCCGCTCAGAAGTCTCCGAACGCTCCGCGCACCCCTTCCGACAACAAAGCCGCCAACCGAAACGCGGCGACCGAAGCCGAACACCGCGACCACCGCTCCAGTAATTCAATCGATGCGCAGGATGAAGATCTCGACAACTGGGATAGCTGGGACACGCCCCTATCCGCGCAGAAGACGCATACGCCCTCGTCGAGCCGATCAACAGTTGCATCCAAACATGACCAATCACCCACCACACAGGGTAGCAGCCCTCGAACTAGCGCTAGGTACCGTTCGACCTTTTCTGATTTCATCTATGACAACCTCGTTATGCGCTGACCACGCTCCTTCCTAGCTTTGGTGATTTGAATCCGGCTTCATCTGCACTTGATCCTAGTGTCTCTGAAAGCATTCCCTGGCCTGCAATTACCAAGCTGGCTCCTTCGAAGCTTCAACGTACTGCGTCAAATTTGATGGCAGAATGGGAGCGCTCGCTGTCGCCTACTCCTGAACGAACTGCCTCTCCTTCGCTTACTCGCAAGGACAGCAAGAAGGACTAATAGGGTTCTTTCTTTCCCTCCATGTATATACTTGCTACCTCTTCTTCGGCCCTATCTACGGGATTACGTAGGGCTACGACCTTCGAACTATACCATACGAGAGCGTTGCTTCTTCTCTTGTCGATACACTGCCTTCCCTTTGCTGCTTTTGAATTTGAAGTTTATGCAGGCTTCCATTTATTTCAAGATTTGTTGAAATACCAGTTTGACTTGATCACGATAAATGCGATTTCTGGTTCTTTAGTTTCACGAATATAACGAGTTTCCATTATGTCTTTGTGCTTTTTTCTTTGGAATTCAACACACAACAATAACAATGCATCCATGGATATGTACACAGAACGTTGTAACCGCACGATGATTTGGAATGGTAGCCCTAGAGATTTTCTCGGCTTACTAAGATAGGAACTTCCGGAGCTCTAGGGTTCGGATAAGGGATGGTCCGATGACTGGAAGTAGTGGCTCTAGTAGTGTCGAGGTAACCTTGAAAGGCAAAACAATCGGGTTTACTCCACTGGGACTTGAAGATCGGGGCATTCTGCAGCTACGATGGTCCATTTGTTGATGGTAAAAGCAGAGATGTTTGTGAAAAGCAAAGATGAACTTCAGATCAAAAGAGAAAAAATAGGAAAAAGAAAAGGAATCTACTGTGCCTATTCCGAACTGTTCCTTATCATTCCTTATCGAGACCCGACGAGCTCGGAATATCACGTGCAAGACTGCGTTTTGGGATTTTCTGGTTTCCCGTAAAATAAATTTGCGGTTCAGTTACTCGCCTCCGCAAGATCTCCGCGTTCTATATTTTACCTGATCACGCGATTTCTTTTCTCGCCGAGATCTAGTGGATTGATCATTCAGGCCAGCGTGGATCTGATCCAGCGAGTACGATCTACGACCATATAAAATCCAACCCTTACCGACGCCAACTTCCAAAATGGCCTTTCCAGGTACCACAGGGACCGCGATTCCCATGACCTCCCTGGGAGGTAACCCCGGCACTCAGGGAATGAATGACCAAGAACAAGCCATGGTCAAGATGGTTTGTCCTCCATTATGACATGCACTCGTTCAATTCTAATATATCTTGGTATAGATGCAACGTGGTATGGAGTCCTGCCCTATCAAGACAGTCATCTCAGGTACCATGGGTTTCGGTCTTGGTGGTGCTTTCGGTCTCTTTATGGCTAGTGTAAGTTGGCAATCGAATACTTGACGTCCACAATTCCATTTCTAACATATACCCGCTCTAGATGTCCTACGACTCAACCTTCACACCCCAGGGTCGCGCCATCGCCGACCTCCCCTGGCGCGAACAAGTCCGCCGCGGTTTCAAGGACATGGGCGCCCGTTCCTGGTCCTCTGCTAAGAACTTCGGTATTGTCGGTGCGCTCTACTCCGGCACCGAGTGCTGTATCGAAGGCCTCCGCGCAAAGAACGATCTTACCAACAGCGTTGCCGCTGGCTGTGTCACCGGTGGTATTCTCGGCGCAAAGGCGGGTCCCCAGGCTGCTGCCTTCGGTTGCGCTGGTTTCGCGGCGTTCAGTGCGGCCATTGATGCCTACATGAGAATGCCCGGTGAAGAGTAAACGGTCCATTCGGATCCGACTTGAAAGCATGAGCTTGTTCCGTCGTTTGGCTTTTCTACTGCCGGCGGTGTTAACTTGTTGCGCTTTTCGACCTGTACATTTCTACGGCATCTGGCGTTCTGGAATAGAACGGAAGCATTGCGGGCGTTTCGGTTGTTCTTGTCTATTTTGCTGGGGACATGGTTCTTCTGGCCTGTTTCTCTTGCGTTGCATGTCTTGCTTGATGGCTGCATTGAATGGCTTCGGCATGGTGGTTTACTCCATATTAGATCCGTTTGGATTTGACTCTTTACTCTTTGTACAATACCACGCGTGGACATATATACACCACTGGATTTTGAGTCTCACCTTTCACAATTGATACCAACTTATTTTATGCTCATGTATATCAGCTAACCTTTCAAGAACCTCGATAAAATCCCTCCACTAATATTCAAATAATCGAGACTTGTGTCGAATCCATGCCCCCTTCTCTAGTAGACGATATACTACGTCCATCGCAAATGCAAACTGGAACAGGATCAGCACTCAATTACTATATACTCTCAATCCACCCCTTTGAAGTTCCGAAACTCAGACGAGAATAGTTTGTTCAATTTATATGTACAAAGTTTAAGGCAACACAATATACTTCTCGAGGTGCTTGGGAATGGAAGAACGCAGGTTCTTGCTCTCGAGCCAGGTGCTGGAGAACAAACGATCCGCGTAACGGTAAGCACCGTCACAAAGAATGGTGACAACGGTGTTACCCTTGCCCAACTTCTCGGCAACCTCCTTGGCGGCAACCACGTTCATCGCGGAACTGGCACCAAGGTACAGACCTTCCTCATCCAGACAGCGGTACACCATCTCGATAGTCTTCTCATCACTGATGCTCACCGAACCATCCAGCAAGTCGATATCGGGTTGAAGGTTGTCTGTCACACGGCCTTGGCCGATACCCTCAGTGATACTGCTGCCAGACCGGTCGATCAGAGTACCACCACTTTGGATATAGCTGTGGAGAACACTGCCCGGAGGATCGGCAAGGAAACTCTTGACACGTCCGTCACTGGCAGTCTTCAAATAGCGGGTGGTACCAGCCAGGGTGCCTCCGGTTCCAGTAGCGCAGGTGAAGGCATCAATCTTGCCCTCGGTCTGCGCCCAGATTTCGGGCCCGGTAGTGTCGATGTGTGCTTGACGGTTGGCAATGTTGTCGAACTGGTTGGTCCAGACTGCGTTGTCCAATGACTCAGCGTGTCGGCGCGCCTGGTGATTATAGTTTTGGGGGTTGTCGAAGGCCACTGCGGGGACAGGGTATACTTCCGCACCTAGCAGACGGAGCAAGTCAATCTTGCCCTGCGACTGGGTGTTGGGCATATAGATCACTAGCTTGTAGCCCTTTGACCGGCACACATGCGCCAACCCAATGCCAGTGTTTCCAGCCGTTCCCTCAACCACGGTGCCACCGGGTTTCAGGAGCCCCTTCTCCTCTGCATTTTTAACCACGAAGAGCGCTGCTCGGTCCTTCACGCTACCTCCGGGGTTTTGGAATTCTGCCTTTCCAAGAACGTTGCAGCCAGTCTGCTCAGAGAGCTTCTTCAATCGAATAAGCGGGGTATTTCCAATCGCTGCAGGATCCAAGTCAGCTCAAAAGTGCATGCAAGGGTGCTCGGAGCTAGACATACCCTCGGTCAATCCATTGACAACGCCCTGGGCAGTTGACACTCGCGTGCAGTAAGCAGTGGACCCCTCGGTGGCAGCACGAGCCGCCGTAGTGGCGAATCGCCGTACACTTTGACGAAACATCCTAAATTGACTTGCAATGTAGGAATATATGATCCCATCGACCTTCGGAGAATGACGAGCTCCCGCACCTCCGATGGTCGGCATTAGTCAGCTCACGTGCGTCTACTACCCTTATCGGCTATCAGCCACCCGTTTTGGGCTGTTTGTTTACCGCCAAGGCCTCCACTCCTTTGATCGGTCCCGCAGTCTGCGATGCTTTTCGCCTCTGAATAATCAACGCTCAACAACAACACAACAATGCCTGGCAGAGTCGCCGCCCGTTCGACATCTGCGACGACACGCAGGTCGTCAGCACAGCCCTCTACGTCTGGGCGTGCTGGCTCCGTTACTCCATCGTTTGCGATCCCCGAAGAACCAACAGAACCAGCATCATCCCCCACTTTGCGTCGCGATGTGTGCTTGCTCTTTGCGGATGCTCAGCGCTCGACTACCGGTCACCGAAAGCTTGTTGTGCGTCTGCGCAAGCTCCAAGAGTTTTGCTGTGGTATCTCACAAAAGAAGAATAACAAGGGAAAGGAGCAAGAGCCTGAAGAGGCATTGATTCCTGGTGAGGAAACGGATGCCGAGAAGGAATTCAACGTGGAAATCGGCCGCTGCATTCTTCGGATTCTCACAATTAAGAAGAGTGAACCTGTTGGAGACCGGATCTTGCGCTTCTTGGGTACTTTCCTCGGTCATGCCGCAGAGAAGGATAATGAGATTTTTGCTTCGGGTGAAGATGAGGACCACAACCCGGAGACACCAACCGCCCGCCTCACATCTAGTCTTATTGCGCTGATGGGACCCGTCATGGGTGCCAAGGATAAGATGGTGCGATTCCGCGCAACTCAAATTACCGCCCACATTGTGAACTCGCTAGAATCGATCGACGACGAGCTATACCATACGATAAGACAGGGCCTTCTGAGGCGTCTCCGTGATAAGGAGGCCTCTATCCGTGTACAGGCGGTTCTAGGATTAGGACGTCTGGCGGGAGACGATGGAGAAGAGGGCAATGACGACAACTCTGCTCTTCTTGAAAAGCTGATCGAAATTATGCAAAACGATACAAGTGCCGACGTTCGCAAAACCCTGCTCACAAATCTGCCCCTCGCTCCAATGACGCTTCCTTATCTTCTTGAGCGTGCCCGTGATCTGGATGCCCCTACCAGACGCGCACTGTACTCGCGTCTTCTGCCTACCTTGGGTGACTTCCGTCATTTGTCTCTCTCGATGAGAGAAAAGCTCCTCCGATGGGGTCTACGTGATCGCGATGAGAGTGTCCGCAAGGCTACGGCGAAATTGTTCTATGACAGATGGGTCGAGGACTGTGCTGGCACAAACAATGACCCGAATCAGGGACCGACTGGCCAGCGTTCTGCACCCGACATCAACGCGCTACTTGAACTTTTGGAGAGAATTGACGTTGTTAACTCTGGAATGGAAAGCGGAATTGCACATGAGGCAATGCGCGGGTTCTGGGAGGGCCGTGCGGACTATCGTGAAGCTGTTGTCTTTGACGAGCCTTTCTGGGAAAATCTTACCGGTGAATCCGCGTTCTTGCTCCGGTCGTTCAATGACTTCTGCCGTGTGGAGAACGAAGGCAAATACGACAGCCTAGCAGACGACAAGATGCCCGAGGTCACTGCGATGGCTTATTTCCTAGGCAAATACATCACTAATCTTTTGGAGCGGAAGAAGATTTCCAAAGAGTCTGGTGAAGCGAACGATGATGACGCAGTCGAGCACGAATTTGTTGTGGAACAATTGCTCCACATCGCCATCACTTTAGATTACAGTGACGAGGTCGGTCGACGAAAGATGTTCTCGCTCCTGCGAGAAACTTTGGCCGTGCCAGAACTCCCAGAAGAGAGCACAAAACTCGTCGTTGAAACACTCCGCTGTGTCTGCGGGCCTGATACTGCAGCTGAGGCCGAATTTTGCAGTGTTGTTCTCGAAGCCATTGCCGAAGTTCATGACACCATCACCACCGAGGATAGCTTTGTTTCTGCTAGGTCTGAGATCAGTGACGATACTAGCAGACGATCCGAAACTCCGGGCGATGAGGAAGTGACTCCCTTTAATAAGGAAGAAGCTAAGGCTAAGATCGTCCGCGAGATTGTTGTTAATATGAAGTGTCTGTATATTGCTCAGTGTATGTTGCAAAATGTCCAGGGCCACTTGCAGCAGAACATGAACCTTGTTACTATGTTAAATAACCTTGTGGTGCCCGCTGTTCGAAGCCACGAAGCTCCAATCAGAGAGCGTGGCCTCTTGTGCTTGGGCCTTTGCTGTCTGCTTGACAAGGTTGGTATATTCTCCTTCGGTCGAAGATGAGGTTGGCTAACGATTGGTTTCCACAGAATTTGGCCGAAGAGAACATGACCCTCTTCATTCACTGCTATAGCAAGGGTCACGAGGCATTGCAGGTCACTGCTTTACAAATTCTCTGTGATATGATCACGACTCACCCATCCCTGCTTGCTCCCGTTACACAGTCCGATGGCGAGACTGTGACGCCACCCCCCATGCAGAAGCCTCTCCTCAAGGTTTTCGCCCGAGCTCTGCGTGCCAACTCTCCCAACAGCGTGCAGTCCGGAGCAGCCGCTGCTCTCTGCAAGCTGCTACTCACCAACACCTTCACTCCCTCTGGGCCAAATGTCCCACCCGCGATCCAGGAACACAATCAAAATGCTGTTGAGACTCTGTTGTTGTCCCTCGTGGTCTCCTTCTACCACCCACGCACTCGTGAAAATCCAGCACTACGACAGTCATTGGCTTATTTCTTCCCTGTATACTGCCACTCCCGTGTGGAGAATACACAACGCATGCGCCGCGTGGCCGTACCAGTGATCCGTGCTGTAATGAATGCCGCGGAGGAGCACTACTCACTCGAAGCCGAGGAAGACAGTGATGGAGAAATCGATCCAAGCGTCGGCGAGCGCGAGGTCAAGGCTCTTATGACTGGTGTTGTTGGCATGCTTTCTGAGTGGACTGATGAACGCCGGGTCGTTGGCCTTGGTGGTGAACGAATTCTGGCTGGCGGTGCTCCAAGCTCCAATGCTTGTGGATGGGTTCACCTCGCCCTGGTTAAGGAGATCCTCGAGCGTGTTCTTGGCATCAGCTCTGCCGCCAATCGCTGCTCACGCGAGGAACGCAAGCTTCTCTTCTCCCTCCTCAGTAAGCTTTACTTTGCCGCTCCTACATTACCCGCACGAGCTAGCTCTCGAGCCCCCGAAGGGGATGATCAATTCCGGACTAGCATTCGCAGTGCTACGGGTGTCGAAATCGATCCTGAAAACATTGCCCTCGCGACCGAGGTCAAGGAGCTATTGGATCAAACCATTGAAGAGGGTCTCGCCGCCGAAGCCTCCAGCCGAAACGCTCTCGTCAAGGCTAAGAACGCGATCCTCAAGATCCTTGCCGTTGCACAAGATGGCCGCGCTGCCAGTGCTCGTCCTCGTGAAGGCACTGAAGACCCTGACAACGATGGAGCCAGTGTACGCTCTGGTAGTGTTCGTCGCTCTGTGGACCCTACCGGTGGTTACAGCCGTCGTAATTTCTCTGTTGAGCCAAGTATCATGGAGGAAGACGAGGGTGAGGGTGATAGCCGTCTTACTTCTGCCGCAGCTAATCGGCCCATTGTCTCTATTGAACCCAGTATCATGGAAGAAGATGAAGAAGATGACCATGATACTAGTCGGGGAACAATAATTAAGGAAGAGACGGGTGATGAGTGATGATTGTTCCGGAGTTCCGAAGTTTGGTTGGCGTTAGTCGAAGTTAGGGGTTTGGGGTTAGGTTTCTGTACATATTTTCAGTGTCTGATTTGTCTTTGAATACCTTTGCATGAATGCCCATTATACGAGTTTCTCATATATTCATGTTTCAATGTATATCCACGTGATGTGCCACGTGATGATATATTTTTGACAGCGGCAAGAGGCTTCCAAGGTTGATATTTGGAATGTCTATTTTGTCCGTCTTGTCTATCTTTGCCTATGTTGTCTATATTTGTCTTGGTTCTTGCTATGTTTAACTGTATACTCCGCTATATGTCCTACCTAGTACTTGCTTTTGCCTTCTATGTACTCGTTTGATATCCTACATATTTATCTGATAGTTCTGGTCTCCAATCAACAACAGTATTAACCATTAGAAAGGAGACACATGTCAATATATATCTATATATCTATATATCTACTATATTATCCTCGACTCGTTCCCCTAAATCCGAAAAGCCGTGCTAAGACAGGGATCTGGGCCCGGTTGGGGTTGCACGGTCAAGACCAGTCCGAACACATAATTTCCAGGGGAATTTGAAGGATAAAAGATTCGATGAAAGTGACAGAATAAAGAAGGATTAAATTTCTCAGACTTCTAAGAATGACATCCTATATAATTCATATTGTAATTGTATAATCTCCGTCTCCCCCCGTGAACCCCGAAACTTTTCATTTTCTGTCAGAACTCCACCGAGTTGGCTCTTTTCTTCTTCCTCCCCCCCCCCCTTTCCTTTCTTTCCTCCCCCGGGCTTTCTCTTCTATTCTTACCACTCTCTTCTCCGGCCTTGTCTTTTGTCTTCTGCTTTTCCCGCAGAGACATCTTCCCCCCCATCTTCCCCCGGGATTCCCTTGCCGCTCCGTTGGCACCGGACAAGTCAGCGATGGCGGCCGTTTCAGCACCAACCCCCAAGCTGGATCGATACATCGTCATCCACGTTGCAACCACCTGCGACGAACATGGCGTATATGTCACCAAGGACTCGGCTGAGGTCATTGAGTTAGGATGGATTCTGTTGGACACTAAGACCTGCGAGGAAGTCCGTTCCCCCCAACGTCCTTCTACCCAACATTCAATTTACTCCCGAGACCAACCCGAAAGCTGACACCTTTTTTTCCCCAATTGTTTAGTTGCATCGTGAAAGCGTTCTCGTCAAGCCCGTCAATACTCCAATCACCCCGCTTTGCAGTAAGATCGCCTTGAAACTAACCTCGGATTACATTTTGTTTTGCTAGGAACCAATTTGTGGCTGACAATTCTTTTAAAGCGAGCTTGACCACTTTGACATGGGAACACGTTCGCTCCGCAGGTACTTTCCGGGACGCCATCTCTCGATTCGACGCCTTCGCCCAGGAACACCTCACTAGCAAACACCTCGAGTTTGCCTTTGTGACGTTGGACTCGTGGGATCTGCGGGTGCAGCTGCCCCGCGAGGCCCGCGACAAGGCCGTCGTGCTGCCCGCATACCTGCAGCATTCCCGCACTTTCGACCTGCGAACTGAATATCAACGCTGGCAGACCCATCACCCTGAGTCGCTGCCTTTCGGTCCCAGCTCGCTTTCCAACATCTGCGCTGCCCTCGAGGTCGAGCCCGTTCAGTCGTCTGCCCCGATTAAGCACAACCTTCCTTTCCATTTGCAAGCTTTGGCCCCCGCTTCGCCCCGCCGTGCCATGGAGGAGTCTGTTACTCTCGCCCGTGTGCTTCGTGGTTTGATCCGCAAGTCGCAGCCGCCCCAGGAGCACCCTGAGATCCTCACTCGTCCCATGGATGCTCATGCCGATGTTCGGGCCTTTTTAGCAGAACGGAGCAAGGTTCTGCACCTTAGTGGCCTCCCCCACGATACCACTCAGTCTGAGTTGGAGAGCTGGTTCACCCAGTTCGGTGGTCGTCCCATCGCCTTTTGGACTCTGCGGACACCAGACCAGCACAAGCCCACTGGCACTGGCTTTGCCGTCTTCTCTTCGCACGAGGAGGTGAGTTTTTCGTCTTATTATTCTATTATATAGAACTTCCTGTATTCTATCCGCATGTTCCGCCTACTAACTGTTTACTAGGCTGCTGAAAGCCTGTGCATGAACGGTCGTGCGCTCAACGAAAAGGCGATTGAGGTCTCTCCCTCTTCCAGTCGGGTTTTGGACCGGGCCGCCGAGATCCTCACTCCTTTCCCGCCCTCCAAAAACCGTCCTCGTCCTGGTGACTGGACCTGCCCATCTTGCGGCTTCTCTAACTTCCAGCGCCGCACAGCATGCTTCCGCTGCTCGTTCCCTGCCATGGCGGCCGCACCCGACCCAATGAACTACGGAAACTACGGCTACGGTCCGCCATCAATGATGCCCCCTCACATGGGCCACGGCGGCGGTCACGGTATGGGTGGTGGTCATTCGCGTGGTATGGGTGGCAACGGTGGTGTTGTCCCCTTCCGCGCCGGTGATTGGAAGTGTGGTTCTGAGGGTTGTGGCTACCACAACTTTGCGAAGAACATCAACTGCCTACGATGTGGTGCCCCTCGCTCGGGCGCTGCCGTCGTGGCAGACTCGGCATTCCCGTCACCGATGGATCCACCGTCGCAATTCAATATGGGGCCCAACTCGATGGCTAGCACACCTGCCCCTGCTCCGTTCGCCTCTACCGCCGGCGGATTCGGTGGTTTCAGCCAGCAGTTCGGTGGCCCGCCCAACAACTACGCTCTGCCCTCCGGTGGTCTGGGTAACAACACCCCCGGTGCGTACCCTCCCATGGGTCAGATGAACTCGGGCTACGGTTCTTCCACCGCCTCGCACTCGGCCGCCTCCTTCGCCAACCCGGCTACTCAGGCCGCTTTCACTGGTGCGGACCACGGCGTGCCCTCCAGCAGTGCTTCCAACGGTGCTTTCTACGGCACCGATGGTGCCAGTGACCCCTTCGCTTTCTTGTCGAGTGGCCTCGGTGGTCTGACGGTGTCTGATGACCCCCACTCTCGTCGCAACGGCTCCAGTGCCAACAAGTCGCCCGCTTAAATATGGGTCTAGTTATATCTACTTCACGCCCCACACACGAATTGGGCGCTCACACTTATGCTGTCCATATTGCAACCCTGCATTGTGGCGGGTTTCTGCGTTGGTTGATATTCGTTGATACGCATTTGTATAAGGGATTCTGCGGTTTTGGTGCATCGGGTTGGAAGGAGCAGGCGGGTTAGCGTTGTCGAAGATTTCGGATTTCTTTCTCTCGCCTTCGCCGCCCTGTGCTTTTTGCGTGATGCTTTTTTATCGTTGGGTTTTGGTCTGTTTTTTGTTTTTGTTTTTGTTTTTTCTTTTTGTCATTTGTTCTCACTTCTGGTTGTGGGATCTGTCTTTTTTCCTCCATATTTGTGATTTCCATCTTGCGCTATATGGTTTTGTTATCTTTCTCGAGGGGAATTAGCCCCCTAGGGGTGTGGTGCATGTATTTTTGAATGTTCCGGCCATCTCTTTATTGTCTGCAGGCATGGACACATTTGCGTTGGGTTTGCCCTGCTTTTGGCATTGCATTTTAGATATTTTGTGGGCTCCCTTTCTGCACTCTTTGGTCATGGGAAGCGTCGGAGAATTCACGGTCTTGATCTGGGTGGGGATATACTGGGACTCCGTTTGGGGTGTTGGGGATTTACTTTGAAGCTTGGGCATCGCGAGGATCTCTTCGGGGTCGAAGCACTGTGAATGCAAAAAAAATCATTGTGTCTATATTTTCTGTCTCGTTATTTAGGTGGTTTGACTAACTATATAAAATTCTAGGAGATTAGTTTTTATATATATCCATGGTTCTTATAGGTGAATATAGGTGTACTACAGGACGATAGAAATATGTAGTGTTTAAGTGAATTCAAGACTGATTTGAGCATTTTTCTTCCAAGGATATATTATACTATTGAGTATATGATTCACTTTCAAGTAGAAGACTGGTAAAATAGGTCGACTGTTAGGTACATGAAATTAGTATGGTGTGTCCATACTTAACACAAGTACCGCGAGGGTTGGCGTTTGAGGCAGCCGTAGGCTTTCGCGTCCACCGCCCGGAACCCGTCATTGCTCCAACCCAATTGACCTCAGCTACTTGACACTCTGCATTGCCCTTATTCTACCTCATTGCTTCCTTTAGACTTGTTATTTGCAGCAACCTTGAATCACCACTCATCCACTCGCCCTTGATTCACAATGTCCGGATACGACCGAGCTCTTTCAGGTAAGCTAGCTCCCCACCTCTCCAGCTCCCTTTGATCCTGACCAGGACGAAAGCTGTATCATGCTAACTTATCGCAGTATTCAGGTATGAGGCCTTCAAGCTACGCTTCAGCTCCAGAGTTTGTTTTCTAACCCTCCCCCAAGTCCCGATGGACACGTCTTCCAGGTCGAATATGCCATGGAGGCTGTGAAGCGAGGTAAGACCGCCATTATTTGCTTTCCAAGTACCTTTCTCTGCTCCATTTCCTGCCGTTGCTCCAATTTCATTCATCAAAGACACATTTGCTGATAGTAGATGATCTTCTAGGAACTTGCGCTGTTGGTGTCAAAGGCAAGGACATCGTCGTCCTCGGTTGCGAAAAGCGTTCAGCCCTCAAGCTCCAAGATACCCGCATTACTCCCTCCAAGATCGCCCTGGTGGATGACCACGTCTGTCTCGCCTTCGCTGGATTGAACGCCGATGCCCGCATTCTTATCGACAAGGCCCGCTTAGAGGCTCAGTCCCACCGTCTGACCGTTGAGGACCCCTCCAGCATCGAGTATATTACGAAATATATTGCTGGTGTTCAGCAGAGATACACACAGAGTGGTGGTGTACGTCCATTTGGTATCAGTACGCTGGTGGTTGGATTTGACAAGAACGACTCCAACCCGCGACTGTACCAGACCGAGCCATCTGGAATCTACTCAGCCTGGTAGGTGTTTTCCGAGATTACGTTTTCATATTGGATACAGACTAATCTTTTTTTCTCTCTCACCACAGGAAAGCCAACGCCATCGGTCGTTCCAGCAAGACCGTCCGCGAGTTCCTTGAGCGTAACCACCAGGAGGACATGGACCGCGAGCAGACAATCCAGCTGACCATCAAATCTCTGCTTGAGGTTGTGCAGACAGGTGCCAAGAACATCGAGGTCGCCATCATGGCGCCCGGTAAGACTCTTGAGATGCTCCCAGATGACCAGATTGAGTCGTACGTGAAGAGCATCGAGACCGAGAAGCAGGAGGAAGCGGCCAAGAAGAAGACTCGCACAGGGACCACCACGGCGGCTATCCTCACCCGGCCGGGTGGCGGCGAGTCGACCGAATAAGTGCCAGACTTGGAAGGATTCAGAGCCTGAGAGGTGACTGGATCGTTGATTTGTTTCAATTTACAGTAGCGTTGGGTCTCTTCCTGGACGAGAATCCAAAATCATGAAGTTTTAAAACACATCTCCCGGTTTCTTTCGTATTGTGGACTGTACATCAACGCAGAAAAGGGTATTGATGCAAAGGGAATCTCCATCTGCCTTGAACTATTTCCAGAAACAGTAACCATCAAATCGTCAATATCATGAAATGGCGCCTGCCAATTGTCTTTTTCCTTCCCAAAAGTGCACAGCTTAGCCCATGCGGTCCGACACATCTCTAATATTGAAGAGGGAGCGCTCCTTGTCGCGCGCAACCCGCTCATCCTTGAGCATACTTGATATGGTCAGCACCCTGCCAATTAGAAGATCTTATGTGCTCAACATACCGGCTGTCCATACGAGCATCCTCACCCTCCACGTGGAGTCGTGCCTCGGGCTCGACTGCCTCAATGACAAAGTGATTATCGCAGTGAGGGCAGTATTCGTCACTGAAATCAAAAATTAGCCCGCTGCCACTTGGATTTCGAACTGTTCCTTGCATACGTCTCATCGAACTCAGCTGCGTCCTTGCGGAAACACTTCTTGCACTTCTTGCATGCAAAGATCTACCCCATGGAATGTCAGCCTGCTAGACTTGCGTTAACCGGAGAATAGGGGGTGTACCATCTCGGCGCTCTTCTCGAGATTGTGTGACTCGCTCTCTTGGTGGCATTCGGCGCAATCAAACCATTTTCGGCCTATATATCTTCGGTCAATCCCCTGTGATCAAATGCGAGGTCGATTGGAGCGTACAGCAGTGCGAGCGGATGGCCACTTGGGCGTTCAAAATGTGTTTACTGCAAAGCGGGGAGATTGTATTAGCTATCAGAATTTTGGACGAAGGGGATTGATGGGGATCTTGAGCACATGAGCATGCTCCAGAATACAGCAAGGAGCAGACTTACCACATGGCTATGAAATGCGAAAGAAAAGTGACGGCCAAGTGCGAGATGTCGATGCTCAAGTCCGAAGAAATGCAGACACAAAGTGATCGCCAACTCCCGTGATTCCCTCCACTTTCCTCCCCGCCACTCCATTTCATCGACTTTCACCTTTCACCCCCTTTTACCCCCTGGATATCCCTCGGAATTCCTCAAACTCTTGACGGCCAAGCTCCGTCTTCTCTTACTGGGCCTTTGCGCCGCTTACGTCGTCGCCTCTCTCCATACTCCGAGCCCCACGATATCCCTGTAGTCTTAGTTACGTACCCACGAACACCTACTCTACTGCTTCCGCGCCACTACTCGACCCCCAAGAGATATCTCCAAGTCTATGATCCATTCATCCAGCTGGACTCGGCGACGGATCCGTGATAATGGCCATGGCGGGCACAGGAAATCAGCCGGACAACAATGATGATGCTCCTCCCACTGTATGCATACGTAACTGTTTTTGTTGCACACAATGAACTAACATGAACCGCAGCCACAGAGACCGGTGTCCTCCTTACTGTCTCACTTTGAGAATCTTTCTCACCGCAGATCTCCCTCTGCTGCTGTAGCTGCCAGCCCGCGCACTTCCACAACCCATTTACTGGCAACTCCGGAGCCTGGCGATGACCTCCGATCTTCCAGCCGTGCTTCGCTCGATTTGCCCCGGCCACATTCCCCATGGACCCCAGCTGAGGATAGGCCAAACCCGCTTCAACAGTCAAATGGTGGGAACTCTCGGGATCGTGGATTCTCCGGTAGACGATATGGCCGGCCCATCTCTATGAACTTCCACCGTTCATCGCCACAGCTACCGCCAACCTTGACAGTACACTCGCCCCAATCACCGCCGCGCGGACAAGATTGCGATGAAGTTCGGACTCCGTCTGGTGACAGCCGCAAGGCTCGGAGTCCAAGCCATCGCCCGCGAGAATCAATGAGCGTCTCGCCGGCACCACCTCGCCCGCTCTCTCCGATACCGAAGTTTGGGCAGCCCGATAATGCAGGGGATACAATGCCTCGGGCGTCGCCTGGGTCTCTCCGCATCAATCTCACTGGGAGCCCGGCGGACCGGAAATCAAAAAGCGCCTCGTTACCACCCCCAGCTAACCGCGCATCAAAGCCCAAAATCCCGGCGAAACCGGCTATGTTTTCTCAACCGGACACCACCTCTTTGACTCCTAGACCAGGGCGAGCGTCACCCGATCGAAGTATTTCACCTTTTAGTACCCCTCCTGGTAGCCCAGAGAAGCATATGGTTAAGCCGCAATCTACTGGGAAGAGTAATGCTCGGCCAGCACCAGCTCGGCCAACGACAGAGCCACCGACTCGGCGTTCAGTCGACGACCGGTCACCTGTTCCGTCTGCGACCGTCAGACATGACGCCAGAGAGATGGGATTCTCAAGGATCCGTCCTGGTCCAGAGCCCTCACGGTCCTCCAAGCCCTTGATGGTGCAGATTCCATCTGCCCCCGTAGATGCTCCGATGTCTGCTGCCACTGCTCCCCCTCTTTCAGCGCAGAGATTCCGAGCCAGTGATATTCCCTACGACCGCCCAGGGCTTCCTCCTCGACCTTCTGGGGCTCCCCGTCGATCTGGAGTCTCCCCAGTACGAGAGTCTTCCAGAAAAGTAAGCAGCCCTGCGCAGCTAGCACCGATTGCCAAATCTGCACCTTCTTTCCCACGTGCTAGCGAATCCTCA